ATCAGTGATGATATCAGAGTTTTAAGCTACTATATTTCTTTGAACCAAATCAATAAATATTAGTTCTAAAATTATATCAGCGAAAAGTAGAAATACAAAAGTATGTTAATATGACATAGTAAGTGAAGAGTGTGTGGCTGTTTTGGCTATTTTCTTACAATTCCAATAGGGATAGTAATATATGGGAAAGAAAAATCATGAAGAAATTGTGAAAAATTGGAAAACAGATGTATCATTTATATTTTGCTAGAAATGGGAATATTTGATGGTAGTTTAAGGCATTTTCTGGAGTTAAAAATATCAAAGGAAAAGCAATAAAGAGACACAGACCTTACACTTCAACAAATATTAACTCAAAATTGATCATAATCATCTTAGAAATGAAATGCAGGCCGGCCAAGAGGCTCAGTTGGTTAAGAGCATGAGCAACAGGGTTGTTGATTCAATTCCCACAGTGGCCAGTGAGCTGTGCCTGAGCTGAGCTGCTGCTGAGCTGGTGCAGCAAGGTTGTTTATTCCACACCTGTATGGGATGGTGGACTGCGCCCCCCTCCTCAGCCTCCCCGCCCTCCCCCCCACACCCGCTTTCCCACAACTAAGATTGAACAGGACACCTTGAGCTGAGCAGCTGTGAGCTGCTGAAGGGTGGCCGGACAGCTCAGTGTGCAACAAGGTTTCTGGTTCGACTCCCACATGGGATGGTGGACTACGCTCCCCTCACCCCCACTCCCCGCAACTAGATTGAAAGTGGTGACTGGACTTACAGCTAAACTACAAACTTACAGCTCCACAACTAAGACTGAAGGACAACAACTTGACTTGGAGCTGATGGGCCCTGGAAAAACACAATGTTCCGTTTCCCCAATTCCCCAACACTGTTCCCCTACCCAATTCCCCAATACTGTTCCCCTCCCCAATTCCCAATAGGGAGCCAAAGGTCTGCAGTAAGGGTTAAGCCTGAGAGCTGGAGGTCTGCAGTAAGGGTTAAGCCTGAAAGCTGGCAGGCTGACAGGCTCTCAGGCCCCGGGTGGGCGGCGTGGGAAGGTTGGCCGCTGAGGAGAAAACAGCCAAAGGCCTTGAAAGCTACAGAGTGGAATGCCATCCTGTTAACAGTTTCTGCTTGTTATGTTTTGCTTTAACCCTGGGAAGGTTGCTTCCACATACCCTATGGAAAGCCCCAGGGGAGGTGTTCCCTGGGAGGAGGGGACTATTCCCTCAAGTTCCCAAAACACTCCTACCTAAGGAAAGTTACTTTTGCTATAAAAGCTGTGTATAAACAATAAACGGGACCGCTGTCTGCTATCAGCATTGGGTGGACCTCCTGTCCCCAGCTTTCGTCTATAGTTTCTTTCTTTTCCAGTCTCCCACCCAATCCTCTCAGGTACCCTTTCGGTGGGTTCCTGGCTGACGAGCCGGGAGTGCTCATTTGGTGCGTGGGTCACATCAATTCCCCAATAAAAAAATATTTTTAAAACAATAAAATGCAAAAGTACAAATCTTCTAGAAGATAACAGAGAAGAAAATGTAGGTGATCTTGAGTTTGGCAATAAGTTTTTAGATAACATCAAAAGTGTAATCCATGAATGAACAAGCTGATTAGTTTGGTTTTATTAAAATTATAAACTTTTGCTCTGTGGAAGAATGTCAGGAGAATGAAAAGAGAAGTCACAGACTGAGAGAAAATTCTAGTCAAAGATATATCTGATAAAGGAATTTTATCCCAAATGTACAAATAACTCTTCAACCTGAACAATAAAGAAAATGAACAACCATATAAACAATGGGCAAAAGAGTTGAACAGACACCTCACAAAAGAAGATACACTTACGGCAAATAGGCCCCGCACTGGATGTCATTACAGAATTGCAAATTATGAGATACCACTACACACCTATTAGAATGGCTGAAACCCAAAACACTGGCACTGCTGAAGAGGATATGGAGCAGAAGAACTCTCTTTCATTGCTGGTGAGAATGCAAAGTGGTACATTCACTTTTGGAAGACAGTGTGGCAGTTTCTTACAAAGTTATGCAAAAGAATGAAACTAGACTGCTATCTGTCACCATGTACCAAATTAACTCAAAATGGATCAAAGACCTAAACATAAGACCTGAAGCAAACTGTATATAAGAAGGCATGGGTACTAAACTTATGAACCTTGGGTTCAAAGAGGATTTTATGAATTTGACCTCAAAGGCAAGGGGAGTAAAAGCTAAAATAAATGAATGGGACTATATCAAACTAAAAGGCTTCTGCACAGCAAAAGGAACCATTGACAAAATAAAGAGGCAACCAACCTAATGGGAGAAGACATTTGCATACAACGGCTCCGATAAGGGGCTAATACCAAAAATATATAAGGAACTCATCCAACTCAACAACAAAATAACAAACAATCCAATTAAAAAATTGGAAAAGGACCTGAAGAGACATTTCTCTAAAAAGGACATACAGATGGCCAACAGATATATGAAAAGATGCTCAACATCACTAATCATTAGATAAATGCAAATCAAAAGTACAATGAGATATCACCACACACTGGTTACATTGGCTATCAGCAACGAGACAAATAATAACAAGTGTTGCAGAGGCTGTGGAGAAAAAGGAACTCTCATACACGGTTGGTGGGAATGCAGATAGGTGCAGCTGCTATGGAAGGCAGTGTGTGGGTTCCTCAAAAAATTAAGAATAGAATTATCATATGACCTAGCAATCCTTCTCCTGTATATAGGGGTATACCCCTAAAAACGGAAAACATTTATCCGAAAAGATGTATGTGCTCCAATGTTCATTGCAGCTTTATTTATGGTGGCCAAGACATTGAAACAACCAAAGTGTCCTTCGATAGATTATTGGATAAAGAAGATGTGGTATACATACACAACGAAATACTACTCCTCTATAAGAAAAGATGAAATAGTGCCATTTGCAACACAATGGATGGATCATGAGATTATTATGCTAAACAAAATAACTCACACAAAAAAAGTAGAGAACCATATGATTTCAATGATATGTGACATATAAAACCGAAAGCAATAAAGGAACAAGACAAAGAAACAAAAAATCATAGACTCAGACAATAGTTCAGTGGTTCCCAGAGGGTATGGGGGGAGAGGGGTGGTAGAGAGAGTAATCAGGGTCAAATCTATGGTGATGGAAGAACTGACTCTGGGTGGTGAACACAAAATGTTATGTATTACAGAATTGAACACTTAAAACCTATGTAATTTTACTAACCATTGTCACCCCAATCAATTTTAATTAAAAAAAAGTCAAACCTAGTCTCTACAATCTAGCGATTCTACTCCTTGATATTTACTCAATTGATTTGAAAACTTATGTTCACACAAAAGCCTGCACAAAATGTTTATAGTTGTATTAACAGATGCAAACACTTGGAAGCAACCAAGTATCCTTCAGTAGATGAGTGAATAAGCAAACTGTGTACATCCATACAATGGAATACTACCCATCTATAAAAAATGAGCTATATAGCCACAAAAAGACATGAAGAAAACTTAAATGCATATTTTAAGTGAAAGAAGCCAGTCTAAAACGGCTACTTACTATACCATTCCAACTATATGACATTCTGGAAAAGGTAAAATTATTGAGAGAGTAAAAAGATGAGTGGCTACCAGGAGTTCAGGATAGAAAAGCAAGAGGGCAGAGATTGAACAGATAGAGCTTAGGAGATTTTTAGGGCAGTGAAACTACTCTGTATGATAATGGAATGCTGGACATTAATGCACATGACATTATGCATTAGGTAAAACCCATACAACTGTACAACACAGAGTGACTGCTAATGTAAACTACTTTGGACTTTAATTATTAATAACATATCATTCCTTAATTGTACAAAACATACACTAAAGTAAGATGATAATAACAGCAGAAACTGTATGTGGGGTGATGAGAGGGGGTATATGGGAACTCTCTATGCTTTCTGCTCAATTATTCTGTAAACTTAAAACTGCTCTAAAAAAGTCTACTAGAAAGAAAAATTGTGTTATTGTGTCCATATGTCTCTGTTTGTTTCAAGGAAGGTTTACCTATGGAAATGCAAAATTGATACAATAATAATTTCCTTATTTGGGGCTGTATGTGTTTTCACATATTACTTGTGTCATTTGAACAGGTACTAGATTATTGCCTCCCCACCACCACTCTGCTGGTCACAGATGTTACTTTTTTATGTTAATGCTGGCTCCATTTTGTAGTATCTGTTCTGTTTCACAGTTGTGAAAGATAGTTGTGTGTAACTGTACTTCTCTTGTCAGCTTGATTTTAAAAGGTACATTTCTGAAGGGGCATTAAACTCCCTAACTTCTCTCCATCCCTCCACATCCCAAATCATATCCTGTGTATTAAAAAGAAATTCAAATACTCCGAATAGTAGAAATACTAAAATAAGCATCATATACACATATCACGTAGATTTAACAATTCTTAACCTGTTGTGATATTTGCTTTCCCTAATTGTTTTGGCTTAATTTTAAAAAACTAAGTTACAAACTCATGATTTCATAATTGTAAAACTATCAGTATATATCTTTAAAAAATAACAACTTCCTACATCGTCCAAATATTACCGCACTTTCCAAGGGAATGATTAATTTTCCTTAATATTTCTAGTATCTAGTCCGTATTCATGCTTCTCCAATTGTTGCCTCTTGCAGCTGTTGTTTTTCCAACAAGGATACGATCCAGAACCACGATTTACAATGCGTTGTTAGGTTCTAAAGTTAAAGTCTAAACCTAAACCTCTGCAGATCCTGGGAAATTTTCCAGGGATCAGGTCCAATTGTCACTCCCCCAACAGGTTAATGAAGCGGAAAGGCTTCAAAAGTTACTGCCTGCGGTCTCAACGTTTCATGGGAAATGTAGTCTTTAAAGTGTGGGCTTACCGCGCAGCCGTCTGGAAACAGGTTTTCGGCGTTCGCTCTGCGCATGTGCACAGCCGTAACTCCTCCTCTTGTTCACTGGCTCCGGCCTCAGAAGCGCTCCGGCCTCAGCGTTTCTCGGATTTTGGGGGAGCAGAGGTTGCGAACCCCGGGGTGGTGAGAGCAATGGGCCCCTGCGGGTCAGGTCGGCTGGTGTCTGGGTCAGGGGAGTGAGAATCCCGGGGACCTCCAGGCGGGCCCTCCCCTCCTTGGACCCCATGTGCGCGCGGGGTCGGCCCTGGCGGAGCCGGCGGCGCAGGTGGGGCCGCGTCCTGGTCAGGAGAAGGTGCTCCGTGCGGCCCGGTGCGGGGGCTGCAGGCGGCGGGAGGGGAATGCACCTTTGTGATGTTCACGGTAAACTTGAGGCTACTAATAGTAGTTCGCACAGTTATTCTGAGAATTAGATAAGGTGTCATCTGCAAAACATTTTGTCAAATGCTTGTAGTCACTCTGTACGCTGCTATGAAAAGACGCGTTGTTCCCTTTCTTTATTTCATTTAACCCTCACAACAATCCTGCTTGTCGATATAAACATGCCATTTTCCAAAGTGAAAGGACGATCCTGGCGTGGAATGAAATACCCCAAGGGCACAAGCTGGTAGGTGAAGAGGTAGGACACAAATACAGATTTTACTCCCCATCTCTCGCTCTTCCTAATGTCCTCCCTGCTCCAAACCCAGAGTTGCAACCCTTGGATCACTTAGCAGAGTAGCCTGTCCTCAAATTCCCGGAGAGATGATTGCGAAGTACCGGTAAATGCGGACAGAAGCTTAACGGCTTGGTAAACATATCCTGGGAAGTGTGGGGTTTCTCCAGAGACTCTGGGTCAGACTGTGATTCCCTTCCACCTTCCTGCACTGTCCAGGCTGTCTCCATCCGCAAAGGCCCAGTCTGACAAACTAATGCAGTGCTGGCCGGTAGGAAGGTAATGCAAATATAATATAAAAATATAATTAAAATGTTCAGTAGCAACAGTAAAAAGAAAAGGAGGTGAAGCTAATTTTGCTGGTGCATTTAATTCACTACGTTCAAAATACTATTTTGACTCGTGGCAGCAGCCACCCTTCCGATGGAGCAGCTGCATGCAGGTAATGGGTATAGTGCTGGATAGTCCATTTCTCGTGAAGTCCAAAGGGTCAGGTTTAGAGTGTTACATGAAGGTTTCAGTTGAAGTGAATTTGTTTCTCAGTCTCAGGTCCCAGCCCTTCTGGCGCAAAGTAACTTAACTCAGGAAAGAGGGAGGAGCCCCAGGAACAACTGCCACTTGGGGGAACAGCTCTTCTGACAGACTCCTCACCAGAGCTTTAGAGTAGAGGCAGAAGTGTCTAGAAGGAGCAGGTCCCGATTTGCTCCATCAGAAGCAGTTCTTGATCCTGGGATAGCCTGAGTCAGACTCGAGAAATGTCATTACACCCAGAAGCCATCACAGACTGTGTGACGGTAGATACTGTGGACCAACCTGCAGAAGGCGTTATATGGGGTTGAGAGGGATGGGTGACTGTCAGGCTGCACAGGAAAAGGCACTTGACTGGATGGCTGGTGAGGACTGATGTCCAGGGAAGGTGTAAGCAGCCAGAGCTGAAGAAACCCTAAACAGCACCTTGTTTCCTTTGTTCTGCCCTCACCCTTTCCAGATTCTAAGCTGCTTTCACACCATCTCCATCACCTTATGTGGTATCTAGAGTTATGCTCATACTCCCTTTTTCCTGAACATGGAAATAACAGAATGAGAGTAGAAGGGTTTTCTGTATTGCACACTTATGGAAGCCCCAAAATATTGAGCCCGAAATGAATGATTGTTGTAGAGTCACCCTGGCCAGAACCAGCACAGGGCTGTTTACTCTCACAGGTAAGTTCCATAAACATCAAGAGATGTTTTTTAGAAACTGCAACCAATTTAGAACAAAAAGTTAAACAGTATGCTTCTTGCATAAAGTATTCCATCTTTATTTCAGTTTTTTGGGGAAACTAACTCAAGGTGTAACTACAATAAGAACTTGATGACCAATCCAGCCAGAGTCGTGTTTTGACATTAGTTTTAATGAAGGTAGGGGGACCTGTGGCAGACCTGAATTTGTTTAACCAATCCTCTGTTTTACTTACATGTTTAATTTTCTTGTTTTAATTCGTCAGAAGGGGGCATCAATTGTGAATTCCTTGACAAAAAGCAGTTGACCTCACTTGGTGAAAATGCAAGGTGAAGCCCTGGTACTCATGTCAGAGATGCACATGATCAGGTGGTGCTGCCTCTGTGTGCTTCTTCCTGTTCCTTCTTGAGAATGTCAGAGGGACGTGCTCCCACACGGAGGCTTTTCCTCCAGTTGGTGTTAGGAGACTTGTAGGCAGGTGAATATAGGAGTTGAAAGGAAGACCAGGTTTTACATGAGCTCATTTCTCTTTTCTCCTCCCCAGTGGAACGTTTCAGTTTTTTACCTTTTTCCAAGAGCAGCAGAAAATGAACATTGCTCCGGTGAGTTGAGTTGTTAATACCCTTTTTGTTTTACAATGGAAATTTTAAAATTTCAAATGTCTCTATGTTAACATGGAAAAGTAGAAATAGAAATGGATCAGATGCAGTTAGAGTATGTAGAAATAGAGATGTACAGCAGAGCAGAGGTGGCATGTTGACATATGTAATTCTGTAATTCTATAAATTTACTAAATTGGAGCTCCAAATTTATTTGTGAGACTTTTCATGTTTGTGTCAGTGTCAGAAAATACTTCTTTAAAGGCTGAAATTGGTGAGAGGATAAAGCAAACACTTTCCTTATAGAATGTATGGACAACTGAATATGAAAAAATCTTTGTTGATTTCAAGTAGGTTAGTTAGTTAACAACCTTCCAGTAATTACCCTAAAATAATATAGAAAGTAGCCTCGACTTGTTCTACAATAAAAATAGAAGACTTAATGATAATTGTATACTCTGTCAATACTATTTTTCAGAAACTCAAACATGAGTGGAATTAAGACATTTTTCTGATGAATCAAATGGATATACTTGAAATTACCCTGCATAAATATTTCGAGTACCTATGACATTCAGGTTGCTCATTAGACACTTTAAAATTCAATTCTCTTTCAAATAGTTGAACACTTCCCATTCATATTTCAAGCCTCTGCATGATGCCTTGGTTTCTCTCCCCACTTGCCTGTGATCTTGTGATGAGACTTGATTATAATCAAGTCATTGGAGCTTGTCTTTTTCCTTACTTCACTTTTCTGTATCACTTGCCTCTACTTCTCACTCTGTGGTGTCTGTGACACCCTCCGCTCGCTGGCTCTGCCCTTCCCCTGCTGCTGTGTTCATGGAGTCATCTTCTCTCCCTTGTCCCTTCACATGGCTCATCCCCGGTTACCATCCTTGGCCCTTTAATCTCTGTTGTCCTGTAATGATTTCATCCTCTCTCATTTTTTGAAAACAGCTTTATTGAGATTCAGTGCATGTGCCATGCCATTCATCGATTTAAAGTGTAAAATTCAATGATTTTTTTTAAAGTGTACCCACAGGTATGCACAAACATCACCACAGTCAATGTAGAACATTTTCATCACCTTAAAACTCAACTCTGTAAACTTAACTGTACTTTCCCGTCATCCCATTTCCCTTCTAAGCCCCAAGAAAAAACTAATCTGCTTTCTGTCTCTATAGATTTGCTGAAGTACTTACTATATTATTACATGTAGGGCAGTTTTGCCTTTGACAAATTGTGTTTTTATTTCGGGAGGTTTTAATTTTTACATTTTTCTTGGGTATAGAATTCTTGGTTGACAAGAATTCTTTCTTTGTAGCAGTTGTCTTTAAGTTTATCCTACTTGAAGTTTGTTGCGTTTCTTGGATGTGTAGATTAATGTTTTTCATCAAATTTGGAGACTTCTTTGCCATTATTTTGTTAAATATTTTTTCAAGCTACCAGGGATGCCAAAAGAATTTTTACACATGACTTGTATTCATATTTTATTACTGTTATATATTGAGTATTACAATTTTAATACAGTGTTTTCCTTTCTTAAAATATATATACATATTTTTGGTACCCTCTGTTTTCTCCTCTCTTTGTGGGACTTTCATTATGCATATATCTGTAAACGATGCCATCCTGTACTTATTTTCCATCATTGTTTTTTCTTTCTGTTTCCCACACTGCGTAATTTCACTGGACATATTGTACAGTTTGTCCATTCTTTCACCTGCTGAAATCTGCTGTGGAACGCCTCTAGTGAAAGTTTTTTTTTCAGTTATTGTACTTTTCAACTCTTGAGCCTCTATTTGGTTCATTTTTATACTGTACATCTCTTTTTTTTTTTTTAAAGATTTTTATTGGGGTATTGGGGGGAAGGGAACAATGCTGGGGAATTGGGGGAAGGGGAACAGACAAGTTGCTGTTGTTTTGTTCTTCAGTCTAGTTGTGGAGGACGTTGCTTCACTGGCCTAAGTTGGCACCATCATTGCGCTCTTCCCGGGCGAGGCAGATCAGTCGCCGGCTTCTGGACGGCCGCTCACTGCAGCTGCTGGCCGCTCACGCTGGCTGCTGGCTACACACGGTAGCCCATGGCAACCCACTGCCACAGGGGCTGCAGCCTACGCCGACGGCGACTCACGGCAACCCAGCTCCAGGTTGAGCTGTTGTTCAGCATCTTAGCTGTGGAGGGCAGTGTCACTGGCCCTCATATATGGGATCCGAACCGGGGCCCTCTGGCGTCCCAAGCCAGTTCTTAACCATCGCACCACTCGGCCGGCCCTATACTGTACATCTCTTTATCGATACTCTCTGGTGAAATATTGTTCTTAATATTGCCTTTAGTCCTTTGATATTCTTTCCTTGAGGTCAGCTTCTTTGACCATATTTAAATCAGTTGATTTAAAGCCGTTACCTAGTAAGTTCAACATTTGCTTCCTCAGGAGCTGTTTCTCTTGATAACACTTTTTCCTGCGTGGGGGTCTTACTTTCTTGTTTTTTCACCTTGCTTAGCAGATTTTTTGTTGATAATTGGACATTTTAAATAAAATAAAGTGGCAACTTTAGAAATCAGAATTTCTACTCTTCACAGGGGTCATTCTTGAAATGTACTTTTTTAGTGACATTTCTGAACTAATTGCATAGAGCCTCTATCCGTTGTGCTCTGTAATAGAAGTCTCTTCAGAAATTTCCTTCAGTGCCTGGAATCAGTAAGCCTCCCAGTCTTTGCTCCGTGTGTGTAAGGGCATTCCTTCAACCACCAGTCACAGAGTTGACAAGTCTGCAGTAGCCTTCACTTCTTATGCCAAAGCTCATGGTCACCTAGAGGTGACAGCTTAGGGCCTTCTCACATGTTTCCTGAGCATGGTCTCAACCCTGGGTATATGCATAGCTCTATGCTTGTATGTAGCCTTGTAGATTCTCAGAAATATATCAGAGATTTTCAAAATCTTTATTAAGATCCCTTTCCCCTGCATTTCTTATTAAGCTTCTTGATTACACCATTGTTTGTCCCTACTGTTATGCAGCATCTCAGGTAGCCACTAAGTTAAACAAATGCCTTTAAATTTTTTAACAAATGCTTCTGAGGAGAAGGCTTTTCACACATATTATGTGAAGCTCAGGTTACACACTCCAAGTTAGCTTAAATAACGACATCCTTGTAAGTGGGATCTTTCAGAGAACCACGAATAGGCAGATGGTGCCACTTTTCTGGGAATGAGGCTGTGATGGAACCTGAACGTAGTGCTGCCTCTCCTGTGGTTGCCAGGGTGCTGGCTGCAGACATTTGGTTCTCAAACTATCAGTGTTGAAGAGGGAGAGTGATGGGAACAGTAAATTCAAAGGATACAGAATCATTGTTTTTACTGTGATACAGCCGTTTTTCTTGCATATTTGCGCACATTGCCTTTGTTAACTTCTATCATTTTTTTCAGTTTCTTTCATTGTTTTTGTAGAGGAGAGAATTTTCCAGAATCCCTACTTCAACATTTTCATCTCCATCACTTATTAGCTTAACTTCGTTTAATCCAGGTGATTTTTGTTAAGCCAGATATAAAAGAAATTGGCAAAAATAAAAAAAGAATGCTTCTTTTCTCACTAATGTTTAGTTTTGGAAAATATAGTTAAATTTTCTGTATTTTTATTTATTTATTTATTTAAAAATTTTTTTAGCTGAGCCATCTTGCCACCTGTTTGCAGCTCAATGGCAGCTCAGCTCAGGCCGGGCATTGAACCGCTGTTGCTCAGAGCTCACACTCTTGTGCGAACTCTTAACCAACTGAGCCAGTTGGCCAGCCCTTTTTTTTTTTTAAAGATTTTATTGGGGAATTGCGGAAAGGGAACAGTGTTAGGGAATTGGGGAAGGGGAACAGCCAAGTTGTTGTCCTTCATTATTAGTTGTGGAGGGCGCAGCTAGCTCAGCTCCAAGCCCAGTTGCCATCTGACTGGCCTGTTGGCAGCTCGCTGCTGCTCTCAGCTCAAGGTGCTGTGTTCAAACTTAGTTGCGGATGGGTATAACCCACTATCCCATGTGGGAGTCAACCAAAACCTTGTTGCTAAGAGTTACGCTCTAACCACTGAGCAATCCTGCCACCTGTTGGTAGCTCAGTGGCAGCTCAGCTGGGGGCAGCTCACTGGCCCATGTGGGAATCCAGCCGGTGACCCTGTGGCTCAGAGCTCGCGCTCTTAACCAGCTGAGCCACTCTGTTGGTCCCTTCTTTATTTTTTTAGATCAAAATAAATTAAATGAGATGAGTGCCTGTTCTTGTGTTCATTTGTTTTAGTTCCCCGCTACTAGCACTGAGCTGCACAGAGAGATGGTATTCACTCAGTAATACTGAAGACGTAAATGAACATGTTATTGGATACCTAACACTGGAAAAAAGCACTTGTTTCTCTCTTATCTCTTAATCTGCTTTTATTTTTTTGTTGTGATAAGAACACTAGACGAGATTTGTTTTCTTACAAATTTTTACGTGTCCAACTCAGTACTGTTAACTAGCAGCACACTGTTGTACAGCATATCTCCAGAAATTAATAATTTGTTCCAGTGAAACTATACCCATTGAGTGGCAACTTCACACTTCTCCCTTCTCCCAGCCCCTTTGAAGTCTGTTGTTGTGGAAACTTTCCCTTTCTCAGTTTCCAAGACTGACCTCTCATGATTCTGTTATGACCTTCTAGAAAAGTTCTTCTCTGACTTTGTGACCTATAAGTTTTCTGCCCACCTCTTTAATATCCACAGTCCCTCCAATGCTGATTTTGGTACTTTGCTTTCGTCAGTCCCAGTGTGCTCAAGTTGCTGTCTGATCGCCTCTGATACCTTCAGTTACCACCCAAATTGCTCATAACTCCTTAATGCTTGTCTTCATCCTGGACCTCCCCTCTGTACACACATTCTACAACCACGTGTGTACTACTTTAAGGGACAGTTCCAGCTTCATGTACCATAGATATTCTGTAGCAACATGACAAGATCTGTCTCACTAAAAATTCTACCACAGTTTTTTCCTTTTGTGTCCCAAATATCAGTATTTGACCCCAGCAGTGAAGAAGCTGCCCATGTTTCTAGACTGGGTAGCTGTGTAAGAAAGTAGTTATCACATTGGTTGCTGCTTCGGTTCTGTGATTCCACCCCTTCCCTTATATCCACTGCTATTATTCAGTGTACACAGTTCTCTTATACAGGTCTCTCTGATTCCAACTCTTTGTAAATTGTGCTTTGCTCTTCATAAGCTCTAGCTTTACATATCATTATATATTCATTTAGACAGAAGTTTAATCATGTGTTATCTCCATAGCTTCCATGTATCTTTCTTGGCTCCCATTATTGATAGTAATGGTGCCTATGGAGGGATTGAACATCCTAGAATTCACTAGGACAGTCCCTTGGGATGTAGAAGAAGAGTTGTAGGAGTTCTCTTTGTACTGAAATTTTTTTTGTCTTAAAAATCTACAACTCATAAATATATATAAATTATGATACATTAAAAAGCTTTTTAACTAATTGAGTAATTCCAAAGTTCAAGACAAATTATGTCAAAAATCGACATTCTTTATATGTATTTGTTTAGAGCCTTAAGTGTAACAGGAAAGTAGTAGTTCTCAAAGGTATTTTCTCTCTCCCCTAATTCTGAACTTTTGAACAAAATGTGTTATCACAGGAATCATTGTCATTCGAGGATGTTGCTGTGGAGTTCAGCCAGGAGGAGTGGCCGTACCTGGGCCCTGCTCAGAGGGCCCTCTACAGAGATGTGATGCTGGAGAACTATAGTCACCTGGTCTCCGTGGGTGAGCAGACCTTACCACCTGACTCGCTTTGCAATACCATTCTTTTATTTATTTATTTTTTAATTATCAAAGCACGTGTATCTTCTAAAGAGATTAATATTTTTCAGGCTTTTGATGAAGAGGCCTAGGAAACAAATCTTTAAAGAAACAGAAACAATGCTTGTGTCATTACTTTCCCATTGAAAACAGCAAATGGGTACTTTCATTTTGCTGTTGCTGCTGCATCTTTCTCTACCTCCAGAAACTAGAAAGCCCATGGATCGGGTCTACATATACTATCAATTGTTACATTCACAGGGTATTGCATTACCAAACCCCAGGTGATCTTCAAGTTGGAGCGAGGTGAAGAGCCCTGGTCCTTAGAGGAAGAATTCCTAAACCAGAGGTACTCAGGTGAGTGAGCATGGACAGAAGGAATCTCCAGGGGTAGTTAGACCTTAGAAGGAAATACTTCTCAGAGTTGTTTTTCTTTTTAAACAGCTTTATTGAGATGTAAATCACATATCACACAATTCTCCTATTTAAGGTGTATAGTTCACTGGCTTTTAATGTACGCATATTCATAGATATGTGTAAGTATCACACTACAATCAGTTTTGTTTACCTCACAGAGAGACCCCATACCCTTTAGCTGTCACCTCCCTATGTCCTGTCCCCTCCAGCCCTAGCAGCCATTGATCTTTCTGTCTCTATAGGTTTGGCTATTCTGGACATTTTGTATAAATGGAATTACATATTATGTTTTCTTTTGTGATTGGTTTCTTTCATTTTGCATTACAAGGTTCACATTATAGGATGTATTGGTTCCTCGTCCTTTTAATTGCAAAATAGTGTTTCATTGTCTGGATATAGCACATTTGTTTGTCTATTCATCAGTCATTGGACCTTTGAGATTCCACCTATTGTCTATTATCGAGTAATGCTGATATAGTCATTCATTTACAAGTTTTTGCATGGACATATACTTTTGTTTTCCTTGAGTTCATAGCTAGGAGTGGAATTGCTGGGTTCTGTGTTAACTATGGAACTGCCAGACTGTTTTCCTGAGCTGTACCATTTTACATTCCTAATGACAGCGTATGAGGGTTCTGATTCCCCCACATCTTCACCAGCAGTTATTATCTGATGTTTTGATTGTAGCCATGCTAGTGGATGTGAAGTGCTATATCACTGAGGTTTTGATTTGCATTTCTGCATTAGTTAGCTGGGCTGCCATAAAAAATCACCATAGCCTGGATTGCTTAAATAACAGAAATTTATTTCTCACAGTTCCGAAGGCCAAAAGTCCAAGATCAATGGGCCAGCATGGTTGATCTGTGGTGAGGCCTCTCTCCCTGGCTCACCATGTCCTCAGATGGCCTTTCCACTGTTACTAATAGAGAAAGAGATCTGATGTCTCTTCCTATTTTTTTTTTTTAAGATTTTTATTGGGGAATTGGGGGATGGGAACAGTGCTGAGAAATTGGGGGAAGGGGAACAGACAAGTTGCTGTCGTTTTTTTATTCTTCAGTCTAGTTGTGGAGGACGTCGCTTCACTGGCCCAAGCTGGCACCATCATTTCGCTCTTCCCGGGTGAGGCAGGTCAGTCGCCTGCTTCTGGATGGCCGCTCACTGCGGCTGCTGGCTGCTCTCGCTGGCTGCTGGCTGCACACAGTAGCCCATGGCAACCCACTGCAGCAGGGGCTGCAGTCTATGCCTTCGCTGGCGACTCACGGCAGCCCAGCTCCAGGTTGAGCTGTTGTTCAGCATCTTAGCTGTAGAGGGCAGTGTCAGTGGCCCTCATATGTGGGATCTGAACCGAGGCCCTCTGGCATCCCAAGCCAGTTCTTAACCATCGCGCCACTCGGCCGGCCCATCTCTTCCTATTTTTATAAGGACTCCTGTTCTATAGAATTAGGGCCCCACCTTTCTGACCTCATTTAACATTCATTACCTCCCTAAAGGTCTTACTTCCAAATACAGTTACATTGGAAATTAGCTTCAAAATAAGAGTTTGGGGAAAATACAGTTTAGTGCATAACAATTTTCCTGATCACTTATGAAGTCATGCATCTTTTCATGTGCTTACTGACCTTTGTCTAAACTAATAAAACAATTCCAGGAATTTCAAAAGTTAAAGTTTCAATATAATTCCTCGAGCAAAAAAATAAAATCTTCTTAAGTAAGTGCTTTCACTGAAAGGTTTTGTTGTGAAGCCATTTAAACAGGGTAACATAAAATATGACATAATTTAGATCAAGCATATTTCCAGGTCACTAAATGTAAATTATTGAATCATACTGATTGGCAAAAAAAAAGATTTCCACAAATAAGTATGTTAGAGAGATTGTAATAAAAAAATGCTAAAGTTATTAAGTCAATAGTAAAAACATTCTTTAAGATTTAGTGTTCTGTTATTGTTCAGGTTTGAATTTTGGCAATAAATTCATTAACTTAAAAGAAGGCTCCTAGCACAATAGCACAGGTTAATGTGAACCTGTAAGCATTTGAAAGAGTGCACCAAACTATATGATATCAACTATTATAAAACACAAAGTAATGGATTTCTAAGAACTTAAAATTCACTTGAATTAGGAGATCCTATTTAATAGACCTTAAGTCTTCCATTAACATTGTGATAGGTTCTTGAAAACTAACTTTGAGTGATATGACCTATAATGAAACCACCTGTATTACAGGCTAAATGATACAAATAATAGTTAAGTTCCTACAGCAAAAAAATCACCAAACATCTACATAAAGATCCAAAACACTTCTAACTTTAAATGTTTATGTAAATGTGAGTTATACATACATTTAAGAAAGGTTAATCATTATTTCCCTACCTGTTTATGCCAATTTAGCATGGCAGGTGGCCGGAGCCTCTCCTGGCAGCTTAGGCCTGAAAGTGGGAACCCACCGTGGACAGGACACCATTCTACCATAGGGTGCATCATACACACCACACTCTGTCAGACTGGGGGCAGTACAGATACGCTACTTCACATAGCATTCACATCTTGAGGTGTGAGAGGAAACCAGTGTACCTGGAGAAACCCCACTCAGAAATGGGGAGAACTTGGCTACTCAGCACGGACAGTGGCCCTCACTGGGAATGGACTTTTTTGTTCTCATCAACATTGTCATGAAACAATGTTTAATGAAAGGCAGTTATTTGAGGACCTGCTGTACCTCATCTGATAAAATAAGAAATACTGTGGATTTTAAATAGGTACCATGTTTCCCTGAAAATAAGACCTAACCTGAAACAAAGCCCTAGCATGATTTTTCAGAATGCTCGTAATATAAGCCCTACCCCAAACATTAGCCCCACTTAAGATCGTCAGTCAGACATGACTGTTTGAATAAATGTAGATTTTTGTACATGAATAAATGAATAAATATACATTGTTGGAGCAATAATTAACATAAGACCTGGTCTTATTTTCGGGGAAACACGGTATGTCTATAGAGAATATAAATGATATTTGTATTAAAGTTAAATATATATTTGTATATGTGTATGCTGAAATCAAAGGACAAATCAAAGCCTTTCAAATTCCCATGGAATCCTAATATTGTGAAAATACAATTTTAGTCTAAAAAGAAAACAGTAAATCCAACTAATTAGAATCCACAAATAATAGTCTCTTAACCTAGTTTGATAAATGTAGTAATTAACGATAAAATGAGTAAACAAAACACTTTCAATATGGAAATGTAAAAAATTACCTGTTTTAAACAAGGTATAGCAAAGGATATCAATTCCAAAGTTGATGACATTTATAAAATAATAATAAACATGCATATTAGAAACCTTAGGCTATAACTAAATTACGGAATAGAGGTAAATGTGTAGTATCATATTTATATTAATAAGTAAGAAAATAACAAAAGTTACTAATGAAAGAAGAATTTAAAAGTGAAATTAATAAACTGGATAACTGAGAAGCTATAGAATGCTCTTAGAATTAAAAAATAATAAAATGGGTGAAACTTTAGCTAACCCTAATGAAGACAAAAGAAAAAAAATACCTTTTATATGAAAAATTCAAGTGGGGATAGATTTGTAAAGATTTAATGCAATGTCAAACTAAATCCCATTCATAAAATAGAGTGAACTTGCTCTACCAGATATCAAGGATTTATGTAAAGCTCAGAGTAGTTAAGTAGTATGCAGCTCAGGGTGGGATAGTTTAATAAATTAGTGAAAGAGAAAAGAATGCTCAAGAAAAAAAACGTGCTTTATAGACAGTTGGTCTTTGACACATGGCACTATCCCCGTGGACAAGTGGGGAAAGAATTCTGAGGAAACCTTATGGATCAAAACCAAAAAATTGGATTCAGGTGGCTTAATGATCTCGTTTACAAAGCAAAACTAGAAATATTCTATATGATGATAAGGAAAACATGTTCATGACTGTGCTTAGGAAAAGAATTAATAACATATAAAAACGGTTAACCAGGAGAAAGATGGATTCAATATATTCCCTCCTCCTTCACCCACTAAGTTCAGTTAAATATGTACTTGTACATATAGTATATATATATGTATATATATGTGTGTGTGTGTGTGTGTGTGTGTAGTAAGATTCTAAGAGATGGAAAGAAGAGTGATGATGACCTAGGGACGTTGGCACCTGATGAAACACTGGGTGCTGGTAAGAGATTTGTGGGGGCCTGATCTCTCACCCCTGCCCAGTGTTAAAGTGGCATCTTCTCCAACTCCCACGGTGTCAACAGAGGTTTAGTAGGGAACCTGGACTTCTCTCCCGACTTCGCAGAACTGACTTCGTCTGTTGGCTTGCCAGGAGGCTGGCTAAAACTGAACATCAACTTTAATAAAGCCCAATTCTTTAATTTTCTCTAAGGACCATGGTTTTGTTGTCCTGTCTAGAAATATTGGAACTCAAGGAACACAGATTCTTTTTTTCTAGAAAATTTTAAATTTCATATTTTATACTTTGTAATCTGTTTGATATTCATTTGTATATAAAGTATGAGGTATATCAAGTTTAAATTTTTTTTTTGAAGATTTTTGGGAAATTGGGAGATGGGAACAGCGCTGGGGAATTGGGGGAAAGGGAACAGACAAGTTGCTGTCCTTTTGTTCTTCAGCCTAGTTGTGGAGTACGTTGCTTCACTGGCCCAAGTTGGCACCAGCATTGCGCTCTTCCCGGGCAAGGCAGATCAGTCGCCGGCTTCTGGACGGCCGCTCACGCTGGCTGCTGGCTACACA